TTAGTCTATAAGTAAGATTCCACGAAGAACTCGTATATTTTAACTTAGTCTATAAGTAAGATTCCACTAAGAACTCGTATATTTTAACTTAGTCTATAAGTAAGATTCCACAATAAACTCGTATATTTTAACTCAGTCTATAAGTAAGATTCTACTAAGAACTCGTATATTTTAACTTAGTCTATAAGTAAGATTCCACAATAAACTCGTATATTTTAACTTAGTCTATAAGTAAGGTTCTACTAAGAACTCGTATATTTTAACTTAGTCTATAAGTAAGATTCCACGAAGAACTCGTATATTTTAACTTAGTCTATAAGTAAGGTTCTACTAAGAACTCGTATATTTTAACTTAGTCTATAAGTAAGATTCCACGAAGAACTCGTATATTTTAACTTTGTCTATAAGTAAGATTCCACAATAAACTCGTATATTTTAACTTAGTCTATAAGTAAGATTCTACTAAGAACTCGTATATTTTAACTTAGTCTGTAAGTAAATTTTTCCTATTTTTCAACTTTTAACTTTATCTTGAGTTGCTGATGTCACTACAGTTACTTTTAGGATAGAGAAAATAACAGATAAAAGTTTTACTGAAACAAAAAAAGATGATATTCATTTTGTAGGTTCTAGGGGTATGATATTCATTTTGTAGGTTCTAGGGGTATGATATTCATTTTTGTAGGTTCTTGGGGTATGATATTCATTTTGTAGGTTCTAGGGGTATGATATTCATTTTGTAGGTTCTAGGGGTTGTTCAAATATAGAAAGTGGAAAATATGTATATTTATTCTTAACATGAAAATCATCTTGTACTCTGACTGACTCAGTAAATTTCCAGACAAATCTAGTAAAAACATTTTATTAAAAATTCTTGTTTTGTATAAAACTTGCAAGGTTTACTGAAAGCCTATCAAGTGCCATGAAAATGCATTTAGTAAATTTAGAGTTATAGTAAACATTGCTATATATATATATAGTCTTTACCAAAACTTGGTGGGTGCAAATCACCAGTGCTATTCATGTGGAGGTTAATTAACTTTAGTTACATCTGGCTGTAGCTTTCAACAAATTACGCTGACATTGCCGAGTGTCTTCCTGATAAA